CCGAATAAACCCCTTTTGATTGTTACGTGTTATTTGGCGTTTGTCTTTACTAACCCCAAATCAACATCATAACATATATATATATTATAAATTAATTGATTTAAAATATGGTTTTTTCCGCTACACAGTTCTAACCATGTTTCAAAAATTTTTGAAACATGGTTAGAACTGTGTAGCGGAAAAAAACACATTTTAAATCAATTCATTTATAATATTAATGCTCTGTAAATTTACATTGAGCACTATTTTGTAAAAATAAAGAATATCTATAAGAACACCGGATTATATATCTTACTGTTCTTTCTTTATATATATATATATATATATATATATATATATATATAATTCCAGAATCATTTTCCAACTTATTCAAGATGATTTTTCCCCTCGGCAACTTTCTAACTTCCTGTCTAGGAGTAACAAGGTGACTCATACGTTTCAAGTTCGATTTCATTTTCAAGTTTTCACTGCTGTTCCTCGTGCCAATCTTTGCTTTCTCTCTTTTTATGTGCCATATATATTCAGGACGTGGGCGATCATGGCTCTCCACCTCTCTCTATCCCTTGCAGCTCCCAGAAAGTTCCTTTCCTCTGTTTCAACCCCCGCAGACCACGTTCTGTCATCCACTTGCTCAAGCTCGTCAGGTATATCACGCGCTGCTTTCCCTTCTCTGTCTTTCCCTCTATTTGACCCGTGAGTATCAAGGTTCTCCAGGCCCACCTTCCTCATTGTGTCTCCCAGAGACATCAGCTGCCTCTTCCTGATGTTAATTATAAGCCTCCTGCAATCTCTCAAAGACCTCATTGATGCTCACACGTTCGATCCATGATATCCTTAGCATCCTTCTGTAGAATCGCATCTCCGTCGCCTCGAGAGACTTCCTCATCCTCGAGGAATTTTCTGCCGTATAGAAGAACAGATGTCACGTAACAGTTTAGTATTCTTTTCTTTGTTACCAAAGAAATCCTGCTATCTCGCAATACTCTGCCCAGCTTTTGGAATGTGTCCTTGGCCATCCAAAGATGTCTACGGATCTCAGTGTTGCACTTACCGTCCTCTGTCAAGACGCTTCCCACATATTTAAACTTCCGCATCTGCTTGATTCTAGTGTTCCCGACATGCAAGGCATATTTCGGGCTCATCCTCTGACGGATGACCATTCATTCTGTCTTCTTGCAGTTTATACTTAGTCCTTTCTTCTCACTCTCCGTCGCTAACTTCTGTAGGAGATTTTGTAATTTCTCTTCCGTGTCTGCTATTAGTACTGTGTCGTCTGCGTATCTTATGTTGTTAAGGTTGTGGCCGCCAATACTAACTCCTCTGCGTATCTTATGTTGTTAAGGTTGTGGCCGCCATTGCTAACTCCTGATAGCGTTGCCAATTCCCTCAGAATTGCCTCACTGTATAGCTTGAACACGTCAGGTGAGAAGACGCATACTTGCCTTACGCCTCTTTCTATTTTTGTATATTCACTGAACTTGTTCCCTATGCGGATGCATACTCTTTGCTGCCAGCATAGGTCCTTGATTATTCTGATATTCCTCTCTATATCAAGGTTGCTGAGCAGTTCCATTAGGTCCCTATGGCGTACCTTGTCGAAGGCCTTTGCGTAGTCTATGAAACATAGGTACACGTCCTTCTGCATCTGTATCGCTCTTTCTGATAACATTCTGAGCGTGAATATCGCGTTCCTTGTTCCGGTGTCTTTAACGAACCCGCACTTTTCTTGTCCTATCTCTGGCCTGACTCTGCTGCACGCTCTATTCAACAGAATACGGATGATGAGTTTTGTCACATGGCTCATCAGGCTTATTGTTTGGTAGAGTTCGCATTCGTTTGCGCCTGGTTTCTTAGGCATAGCTATGAAGATAGATCTGCTGAGGTCTTCCGGTATATCCCCGCTGTTGTAGATTTCATTTGTTATTTCAGTGATCTTGTCTATGCCAAAGTCATCTAAGGCTGTCAGCATTTCTGATACAATTCCGTCTGGCCCCGCTGCCTTGTTTCTGTTCAATTTGGCTAGTGCGGCTTTTACTTCGGTTTTCAGAATTCCAGGTCCGTCCTGTGTATTTCTGGTTGTTCCCTTTCGTCGTGGAAGTGTTCTCCAATACTCGCTCTAGCGTTGAAGAATTTTTTCCTTCTCTAAGTGTTCCATCCTTTGATTTTAGGCAGCCTGTTGTCGAGCATGACTTCTCTCCTGTTAGTCGTCTTATTTGTTTGTCCATGTCTCTTTTGGTGGTAGTAATCAATCTTTCTATTTCTGCATATTTTCGTTTAGCCGTGTTACGTGTTGATAATTGTAACAAAGGAAAAAAAGTGATTTACCACAACACAGAGCTAAATCACAAACAAATATTTAATTTGCTAAAACACAACATAAAATATATGCAGGATAAACAATTGTGGCCTACAAAACAGAAAACACAGAGTTACTGGTGAAGTGATACAAGGGAGAAGGAAAGGGAATCAAATATCTTTATCACTTTAGGGCTAGTGAAGTAATCTAAGTTCCATATTTGGAAATCCAAAAAGGTGTGTAAATAAATATTCATTTTTAGTTTGGTCAATGAAAATTAGCCAAAATTCTATTTACCAAATTTGTTCCATGAGATTCTCTTTTGGTTTTGGTTGGTCGGCAACTTTTTATAGAGATTCTTTCGGCTGCATATAATAATCCTCGAATCAAAATCCGGAGTTGATAACAAAAATTCTTTTCAACAACTGCCAAACCCTTTTCAAAACTTTGTATAGGGGCTAACACCTAATTTGCATATTCCTTGATGTTTCTCGAATCATCTAGATTTTTCTCGAATATACTGGACTGATCTAGAATCTTCCAAACGTTCTATTTCAAATTTCTCAGTTTTATATCTGATTAATATTGTGAATTTCTTTCTTCGTTCAACGATAATGTTATTAAACTTATCAGACGTTACGAAAAACATTTACATAAAATAAATAGACAACACTTGTCTTTTATTTAATGAAACCTTCATGAAAGAAAACTTTTTTGTATTAACAGGTAGAACTCAGTAGAATCTCTTACTATAAATTTTAACCTTATTGAGACTTTCTTATTATAGAAAAATGCATTCTCGTAACAGCCGTTCTTTGATCTTTTAGCTCTAAGTTGAAATGATGATCCCTATTGCTATTGTGACCGCCTCATCCAATTTTTCGCTTTACTGTTTCCTCTTTTTTAAACTTATTCACCGTTTTCTTGATGGTTCTTGAATGGACTTTGACGTTGGAAGGCAAAGTATGAAAGCTGTTACACCTGTACACACACACACACACACACACACAGACATATATATATATATATATATATATATATATATATATATATATATATATATATATTCTGCACGTACGAACACACTATAAAAAACTTGAAATAAAAAATGAAAAAAGCACATAAAAAAGAAAAATCGAGAAAGTTAAGCAGTCAATTGCTGATACCCCTGACGAGTGGATGAATTGATTCCCGTGCGGTCTGTCTACGAAACTCTGGATTCAGGGATGCTGAAGGTAACATCAATCAGCTAAGTGACAAAAACTTTATTAATTATATTATATATATATATATATATATATATATATATATATATATATATATATATATATATAGTTTTGGGAAGTTACTGGGTAATTTGATATACACAAGCA